TTCTTAGACATGAAACGTTCATTCCGCCGATAAGCGTCCTCGTCATAAATCGATACGACACTGCCGTGGGCGCTAATCAGAAGTCGGGCCATATCTGCTGCCGCATCACTGATGCGTCATCGGATGCGTTGCGTCAGTAAATGGAAAGCAAACGGGCGGTTTTGGCACGGAGGAGAGGTCGCGCGATTGGCAAACATCGCATTCGAGGCGCGACTGACGAGAAAAATTTTCAATTAACCGATGCACCCACCGTCGCGCAACGTCGCGCGTTCACCGCCAGCGCGACGATCCGCGTTGCCGCTGCCCCTTTCGCCGCGCCGAAAAAAGAGGCCGAAATTAATTACTCGCGGCGTCAACGACAGATTCGCAGCTGACGGTGAAACGGACGATCGATCGCTCCCTGCCGACGCTTGATACGATTAAACGTCGTCCGCTCTCCTGTATCTCTCGTTTCCTCCGCGGTGTCGTAATTCTGCTCTCTTTACGACGCTCACGCGCGAGTTCACGCCAAGGCGTTGATGAGACTCAACGGCCAGAGGGGGAAAGAGAGAGAGAAAGAGAGATTATGCCGTTTGTTGTTCGAAGTACGTTGCGCGGAGCGCGAGCAAACTCATCCGGATATTCGCCGTGGGAAAAGAATTTATCTCGACGCCGAGAAACACATTTCGTGCTTGTTTCGCGGGGACTCGGTAGGGATTAGATATGATGTTTGCCGAGTTACGCTCACGTAGAGCGGGACGGCCGCGCTATTAGCGCAAATCCGATGTACGCACTTTTTTTTGGCGGAAAGCGATAAACTTGGTTAACTTGGTTAAAAAAAAACACATACACGCGCGCGCGCGCGCGCAGGGAAAAACGCGCGACGGAATAAAATTAACGAAACGCGCATTCACGGCGTTTTTCAATCACCCGTTACTTTATTGTCCGTTTATTTTCCGGAAATATCTCGCACCTGCAGCTATAGCATGCAAATGCGCATTTAAAGGTTTAAAATTTTCATTCCGCGCAAAAACTATTTACATACATCATTCACACACGGGGAACGTTTCGAAAATCAAAAGGTAACGCGATTTCTGTCGCGCGCGGTTGGTTACTGCTCGTATGAAAGAGGCCCGGAACAAAAGCCGAAAGGGAAGCGACCGCTCTTTGATATAACACCGGATTGTCGTAATTCTGTCCGGTATTAAGCAAAGCGCTTGCCGCGCGTCGCGGTTGAAAAAGAAAAAATAAATTCGTTCCGAGGGAGCGCGATTACGGCTCGTCACAGACGCGACAGTGAATTTCTCTCGTCTTGCCAATTACACCTGTTTCCACTTGCCTTCCCTCTCGCGCCGTCGAAACGCCGCTCTCGCATGCGCCTTTTATGCTGAAAACGTTGCCTTTTGCGCCGAGCTATTAGAAATATCACCCGATATACGTTTCATCGAAAAAAACTAGTACTACAGCTCTCCTCTTCCAGTCGAGCAGTCGGAACAACAGACAGGTGGGATATTGTTTCCGCGCATACGAGATGATTAATTACCGCCCGCGAACGGGTAGTTGCGCGGTAGTTGGGCGAAATAATTAAATTGAAATCTGACGAAATATATTTAAGTTGAATGCTATTAGTCGTGGAATAACAGACGCGCGCGCGGCCGACTCTCGCGTTCTTTCCGCGATGGAAAATTAAGTACAGTATACAATAACGCAACGATAATACTAGCGCTTCGCATTGGCGAACTCGCCGGCGCAAACAACGAGAAAGAGAAAGAAACAGAGCCGTAACAACAGTATCTTATTTAGACAACCAGTCGTGCACTTTCGTAACAGCTCTTCAATTGCCGCCGACCTTCTCCCCTTTCTTTGCGACCTCTGTGTACCCCGGAGGGATAGGTCCGGGTACTTCCGCGAGATGCGTTACCCGGGGACCCAGCGAAATTCAATACCCGCCTTCTAATTTTCCCTCATTACCGCGTTTTCTCGAATTTTCATATTTGCCCTGGCCCAGTTGACGCAGAATTCATTCGTCGGAGGGAGCGCGCCTCGCAATTATACGCCGCGTTTCGGCGACGCTTTTAAATTCCACGTTTGTCTTGCCGCTAACAAGCACTCGCGATGCGTATCGCAGAATTGCAGAGGCGAGTTTACGAGCCGCCTACGAATAAGTAGAACGGTGGTATCGGGATATCCGTAACGTCAATACAAGCCCGTAATTAGAGTAATGAACTTGTATACGCGAGCGGCCGACGATCACCCGGCCGTTTGCGCCGCTGAAAGTTTCATTCGAATTTAATCGACGTCTTTGCGCCGAGTCTCGCCAACCGAACATGAAAAGAGGGGCAGCTCGCGGCGATGTTAATTTTTCGTTTCTTCCCACGTTCGCGCGGACGACGCTTCGGAAATTCGTTGCGCCGCGAGTTGGACAGTCGAGCGTGCGCGCGCGCGCTGCTGCACAGTCGGCTTCACTGATTGCCAATATGGCGAAGTGCACAGAGAGAGGGACTATCGCGCACCGTTCTGTATCTCGGATGGTCGCGGACCCACAATGTGCCGCGGGCGTTAATTTCCTCGTGAAACGTATTGCGCCCCTGCGCGATTCAATTGTTCCATCCCACAGTGTTGCAGTACGCGGCGATAGCTCGGCGCGCTCGCGTGGACCTCATAATGACCCGATTCCATCCACTGGGCCAGTGTTAACGCGCGATAAGGCCGCGCTTAAAGCGATTTCCAGCAGCAGCGCGCGGATTTTAGGACCCATCTCTTATCGCACTCGGGATTTATAGTCGCCGTCCTGTTTTATTCCGGGGATCTTTACGCCCACTCCGAGAAAGGATCCGGTAATAGCGGCTAAAATCTCATTAGCCAGTTCAAATTTGATTGTCATTGGCTGAAAGTCGATTATCGGAGGTAAAACGCATTTGCGAGATTTACGGCTTAATCAGCCGAAATTATTACGCCCAGCTAAAATTGATCAGCCGGTTATACGATTTGCAGACGGTAAATTGATTTGTATCGATAGACGGAGGTGAACTTAACAGACTCGAGTGTGATGCTTAAGTGATCGATTCGCGGCTGTACAATTATATCCGTCTTCAGATTGGTCTCGCGATTGCCTTCATTGTTTTTCTAATTTGACACTTGATGTAGTCTATTAATCGTATTCGCGCCGGAGAGGATCCGAATTGTAGAATCGAAACATTCGCTAAATTTAATCGCGTTTTATTCATAATCGTCAGTCGTATCGCGAAGGAACGATCGAGAAAGAGAAAACGGTCGCGGTTGTGATATTTTTCCTTCGAATTGACTGCCTTCTGAAGATTGTAAAAGCCGAATTAGAAGCCGTGGTAATAATAACGTAAATTCTGTTTCCTTCAATAACGGCCGATCGAGACTACCGATTCCGTCGCGAATTTCTGACGCGATACCTACAACAAGTGTCTTTCAGCTGTTGCAAATTCTGTGACAGCGACATAGATTAAACTTTAGGCCTCGGGGCTAACTGGGCTCCAGGCGGCCAGTTGCCGCACCAGTTATCACTCGTCTCTCGCGTTTGCGTCCCCCGTAAAAGCGGAGAGGCTGGGCGCGCGATTGTTTCTCCCGCGGCGGCGGAAACAAATCCGCGCGATGACAACGCGACGCGCGTTGCACTCTACGGCTTTCGTCTACCAATGGAATGCCGCGGCGCAACAAAAGCGCGCTGCACATCGCCCCGCGAAGTGCTGTTTGTTGCTTCCACCTCGCGTGTTTACGCACCGGCGCATTGTAATGAATTCGAGATGGTCTTCCAACGCGCGCGATATTCACCGGGTTCGTTGTTCTCCGCGCTCTTCTACGTATTCAATTAATTGCAACGTACACGTCGAATCTGCACAATTGCACGAGTTGCAGCGCGTGCGCGCCCCATTGTGCAGACGATGCTCTCGCGATATATCGCGGTCACTCGACGTAGGTTTGCGTTATCGTCGCGATCCTCTCAGCGAACTCGGTGCTCTTCACTGGCGATCGTGCGCCGCAAGACACCGTGCGAATATCGCTTCTGGCTCGTTTCACACGCGCACACACTTCACACGTGAAATATAATAACGTTGAAAATATAACCCTGTTTGTTAACTTCCTAATTAGATACTTAGTCATTCGACTCGGACAATGACAGTGGCGAAACAAGCCGCAGCGCACAGCCAATTAACATCGCGAAAACGAGATTTCGTTCTATATTTGGGAATAACTTTGAATATTCTATTTGAAGTCCATACTGAATACGGGAAAATCTGGGAAAATTTCTGCGAGAATTGTGTTCATTTTCGGAAAAATTCCACCGGACTTTTTGCGTGTAACATGATAAAGAGCAATATAAAAGGGATAATTTGGCCGATGCCGATGTGTCAATTAAAATATGTATCACGCGGCGGTCGTGTCCGTTGAAAAATCAATTTGGCCAACTTTTATCGGCGAGTCTGGTGTGCGTTCGGTCTTTTTAATTATTAACATCATCTCTCACTCAACGTGAGATGTTAATAATTAAAAGTGCTCACTGTTGACTGGTTCGCGAGCTCATTCCATGGGATCGATTATTCGAGGGTTTCCACGTCACTTTCGTGAAAACATTCCATCTCGATAATTCTGGCTGCCCATCTAGTCCAGGGTTGCTAACCCGCGGTTGCACAACAGTCGGTGTGAATGACCGAAACTTGGACCCTGCACGAAGCTAATCTTAAGGAATCTTGCACGTTCACGACACGGCGTAACCGCGGCAACATTGCGATGTAATTGCAATACAACGCGCGTTCGACGAAGTATTTTTTCATAGTCACGATTTATAGCACGAGTGACGTGCGTCTTATCTAAACCGTACAGTCGATATAATTCTCGATATTTATAATAGGAAATACGAGATAGATTGCCTTCGACAACAAATGTACGCGAATTCCGGCGTGCGAATTCCTATGTACTAATTCAAGCGGTTCAAAGGACTCCATTACGTTATTTATGCTGAACAGGCCAACCATTATTGCTTTTTACAGTTGACTTTCGGCAATTACATCGCCGTAGACGAAGCAGTCAGATACACACCCCACCCGGAGGATCCTGGCAAGACGCTGCTCACGCAGGAGGCGGTAGTCACCGTCCGGGGGGTGCCACTGACCAACTACATGGAGGATCTCTTAACTTCGAAAATTTCTTTCAATGCCAGCAAAGTAAGTAATCTCCTCTCTTTCTCTCGCTCGTATATCTCATTCATTCGTAAAACTCTTTAAAAAAAAAAAAAATCGAAAATATCCAATATTAATTTGAATTAAAATTTTCGCCACGCACAGTATTTTTATTTGTCATTGCAATAACGTGAACATCGCCGAATTTTTATTCGTCCTTTCGTTAATAAGCAAGAATTCGTTTTCTGTTTTTTTTTTTTTTTTTTTTTTTTTTTTTTTACGATCGAGTGAAAAGCTCGAATCTAGAGAAAAAAAGCGCAGGATCTAGCCGGGAGATTTTTTTCATCGCGCGCTATTGGCGTATTTTCAATTCGGTGGACGGTGTCAAAGATAAAACGCCTCATAAAACGGCGATGCGCGCTCTGACGCGTTTCATAAAAATTTATGAATGATAGCTCGACGAGCGCGTTGTAACCGGCCCGCGGGACAGCATCTTCGCGGCTCGCACGAGAAAGAGAGAGAGATAGAGAGAGAAAGAGAAAGAGAGAAAGAAAGAGGCGTATGCATGTAATCTTTCTTTTTTTCCGTTTGAGGGTCGGCAAGGGTTGGAATGGGTGATCAACAAACTCGAATCCGAGATGAAGGAGTTTGCCTGAAAGGCCTCGCCGCCGTCGCGAAACTTCCGAACTGCCGCTATCAGCACAACACGAGAGAGCGCCGGTGGGGAGCGGCAACTTCTAGATCGAACGATTACGCGGATCAGAAGAACATTAACGTCCCGGTCTTCGTCAGAAACGAGCAGATGATTCGCCGCGGGCCACGTAGATCGCCTAATTGAATTTTGCGGAACTTGTTACTAGGGACGGTTTATAGGGACGGACGCTTCCTTTGAGAGGGATGATTGCCCTCGCAACCACACCACCGGGTCCAGGCCTGCAAGCATCTGTCGAACGTACGGGCGTAATAACACGACTGATGTAGACATATGAAAACGCGTAGGTTTAATTTACGGTGCGTCCGGTCCGATAGAATGAATAAGCAGCGGCTATCTCGGCGTTTTAACCGTGCACTCACGTACCATCTCGGTCGGTCGACTATGCGAACTCACGACGAGTGGTCAACGCCGATGTAGCACGGTGGAACTATTATACTCGGCCAATTTTGATACGTGGACGTCCTCGGTCACGATTTACAAGAGGATTTACGAACGAATACAATCTGTATGCTGTACCTTGTTTTACGAAAGTTCACGTTACGAAATCTTTTCATAAGTATTAGATGCAATTTCTTACCCTCACCGATTCTCTCCGTTTACTACCCTTCTACTAACCTTTTGCGTCAATTATTGGCGATATCTCGGTCGGTTGCATCATTCTTTCGGTGCTCGTTGCGTGCGACGAGCGCGTCCTACGAATTTACCCAACAGACCCAAGGGATCCCCTCAATGTCCCCCGTTGATCGGGCCTAAGGCGAGCAATGCAGGTGCAGACCATCGCGAAGCTACGTTCCCTCGGACTGTCGTGTCTCCTCGACGAGGAGTTCGGCAATCACGACGGCAACTTATCTTGAAATCTACGTGATCCCTTTGACGACGGTCGTCGATGCGGTTCTCGGAAATGGTCACCCGCGTTTTCTTCCGCGCTCTCTGCCACGCGTCGGCGCCCCCGCATTCGAAACGCTAGTACGCGAGTGAGCGATCGATCACAACGTTTCTCGCGCTTTCTCCTTGTACGCTTTGTCGGCGTGCCGAAAATCCAGCCGCCACGACGATTCCTTCCCGCATTAACTCATACACGTTCTCTCTTTCTCTCCAGGCTTTCCTCTTTGTTTTTTTTTTTTCTTTTTTCGTCGGACCAGCCGTATTCCTCCCTTTCGGTCGGCGCGATCCGTTACAACATTCACCACCGACCACTTTTAAATTCCAACTGCGGAAACATGAAAGCTCCCTATCGATTATAAAAGAAACAGAGAACAACGGTGTGCATCCTTTGTGTCAAAAAAATCAAACGGGAGGAGGTAGGGGTAAGGGGGGGGGGGAGAGAAAACGGGAGAATACGCGCGCGATACCCACAAGCACGGGGCGGGCTCACGCGGGGGGCGAGCCAGGATGCTTTAATTTAGCGAAGTCGACATGCACGTCGGACGCGGACGTTGATTTACCAACGAGCTCAGCGGTTCGATAGGAAAACCGAACATCAGACATGAAGCATCCGCGGGTGCGTGGGGCGCGTACAAAGGATGCTGCCCACCCATGTGATAGGAAGCTGTCAATATTTGTCTGCGTCGGGTAACAGAGAGGTTAGCAATGAACCGTAACATCATCAATTATCTCTTACATACCGCCGGCGAGCGCGCGAGCAGCGCGTCAAATTTGTCCCGCTCGTTCCCACGTCGTCGTCGTCGTGCTTCTCGCTTCTGCATCTCGTCCGCTCACGATCGCTCACCTCCGGCGGCGGTCGGCCGAAGGACGTCCCGTAGAAATTGTCTCTCTATCTATCACTCTCCTCCCTCTCCCTCCCTCTCTCGGCCGACCTACCGGCCGGGAGCAATAATGACTCGGCCGAAATTCTGGCCCGTCGGGAATTGCTTGGAATGCCGAGTCCGATAATCCAATGGCGAATCGAACTCCCGCGTGTACGTTATGTACCTCCACACGTGGAAGTACTCGGTAGCATGTGCCGTGAGGAGTGCCCTCCGAGGGTAGCCAGGGCGATCGAAGACCCGGCCGGGAGAAAACGGTATCGGGATATTCGCTGCTGTGGGTATCGGTGATCTACCTTGACCGGGCGTGTCAAGGTCCCCCACGCGGAGTTACCGCGAAGAGATTAACGAGTTGGGCTCGTGTAATGCCCCCCCCCCC